TCACTAGGTCCCCCCGTGTGGTTCTGGGATTTTTGCTCACCGTTCTTGTGATCATTTTGACCCCACGGGGTGAGATCTTGCGTGGAGCCCCAGATCGAGGGAGATTATCAGTGGTCTTGTATGTCTTCCATTTCCTAATAATTGCTCCCACAGTTGATTTCTTAAAACCAAGCTGCTTACCTATTGCAGATTCAGTCTTCCCAGCCTGGTGCAGATCTACAATTTTGTTTCTGGTGTCCTTTGACAGCTCTTTGGTCTTGGCCATAGTGGAGTTTGGAGTGTGACTGTTTGAGGTTGTGGACAGGTGTCTTTTATACTGATAACAAGTTCAAACAGGTGCCATTAATACAGGTAACGAGTGGAGGAGAGAGGAGCCTCTTAAAGAAGAAGTTACAGGTCTGTGAGAGCCAGAAATCTTGCTTGTTTGTAGGTGACCAAATACTTATTTTCCACCCTAATTTGCAAATAAATTCATTAAACATCCTACAATGTGATTTTCTGGATTTTCTTTCCACAATTTGTCTGTCATAGTTGACATGTACCTATGATGAAAATTACAGGCCTCTCTCATCTTTTTAAGTGGGAGAACTTGCAAAATTGGTGGCTGACTAAATACTTTTTTTCCCCACTGTACCTGTCCAAAATTGTAATCAGTAACATACATTTTGGATCACCCAAACTCAGTAACTGATCACTTTCAGTTACTTTTAGATTACTTTCCCTATAGCCCTTTACACTCATACCCGTATACGGGTTGACAATGGCAGATTAGGGCACTAATAAGTACCTAAATTGGAACGTAATGGCTGTACAGTAACATGCTATACATGATGTCAGAGCTATTGATATGGCACTGTATGGGTTTTGACTGACAGCTGTTCTGAACTTGAGCATCGCGTGTGACATGAAGTTGCCCCCATCCCTCCCAGTAATTGGGCAAAATTAGCAAATATTTTGTTGTCTGAGTGAGGGAAATGCTGTAAATTAAAATGACACGATGTATTTTGAAAGATGAGATGTTGAGGATCATAATAAATACCACTTTGATGTCATACAAGCACTTCACATGTCCAAATCATGTTCACTACGTTTGATGTACAGTTACAAGATGAAATGGCGTCATACCCTGGGTTGTTCTGAACAGAATAAGCCTATTTTTGTTTATTGTGAAGAAAATTTGCCTGGGCACATGCACCTAAATGCACTCATGACTATGCACACCAAAATTACGATATTTTTCTCTGAATTGCCTTGTGAAAGCCTAACACTGTAAGATCGTATTTTATAACTTAGCTAGTCATGTTGGCAATACAACAACAAGCTTTCAAATCATGCCCACCTGACCCAGATTGAGATTTATAATGGACCGTTTTTGGATTGCGTAAACAACAACAGTAAATGCAGGCAGATCATCCGTGATACAAGTCAGTATTCGACATCCATCCATGTCTGAGGACATCGGGAGAAGTCGTGGAAACCGGCCACTAGGGGCAACAGTGAGTTCTGTTACCTTCAAGTAGGTTTGGGTTTTGCTAGGGCATTGTGGACAGGGATGGTGGATGGGCGTAAGCATCTGCCTCTGATTCAAAAGGTTGCATGTTGGAATCCAGTGATCCCAAACCTTAACCATTACCTTAACCATTCTGAGTTAATGCCTAACCTTAAGAATTCGGAGTTAATGCCTAAACTTAACCTTGGAATGATACAGAGAAGTAACCAAACACTTCGAAATTGTATGTTTGAGAAACATGGATGAACGTTTGATTCTGACGTGAGACTGTGAGAGCTTGTTGGTAATTGTGTGATGGCGGAGATGCTGGGTTGGGTTAGAAATTAAACTCTAGTTCCTCAATGGCACAGCTAGGAGAGCTAAACAAAAACATATAGTTGAAGACTCTTCTTTGAGTCATAAAAGTGCATTGAAATTGCTTAGGGAATTGTGCACACTTTGGAGAGGTGTATGGCCACTTTGAGACATCAGTTAGTACTCTCACTCAAACCCTTGTAATGTTTTTGTCTTATGTGCACCTACCCCACATTTTCCAGGAATAGGCTTATTACTGAATGTATCTAGAGTATTTTCAGATGTCGTTATCAACAAATACAACAAAGTACAGTAAATGTACATAAAATCAACAGTGTAATATTTGGATTCAGTCTTGTGTCAGGTGAACTGTTGTGTCCTCAACTTTGGTCTAATAATTTCCCCATAATCTCCTAAACTGTTCCCTTTTAATTGCTGTAATGCTTATGCATATGTGTTTCATATTTCTTCTGTAAGAAACATTTCAATATAGCCCTATCCATACAAGCCAATTCCCATGAGTGTAAAGGGTTAAGAGGCATTAGAAGAAGACAAAAAGGATCCATCAAACGCATTTGGTTCGAAAAAAAAATAAAATTAAAAGCCATCGTAGTGGTCTCTGACATTTTTTTTGTCATTTATCCAGAGCGACTTACAGAAGCAATTAGGGTTAAGTGCCTTGCTTAAGGGCACATCGACAGATTTTTCACCTAGTTGGCTCGGGGATTAGAACCTGCGACCTTTTGTTTACTGGCACAACGCTCTTACCCACTAAGCTACCTGCCGTCTGACTTGTGGGCAGACTCGCTCAGGTGAATCAAATTTGAGAGGTGGATCATTGAGAAACAGAAAGGTCTCATTATGTTTTATTAATTTTTTTGCAAACATCCTTTCTGAATTTAAAAGTAATCCAAGAAGTAATCATCTAGTTTTTCAAAAGTATCTGTAATCTGATTACAAAAAAATGTCTGGTAACATAACTGATTACAGTTTTTTTGTAATTAAATTACATGTAATCAGTTACTCCCAAACCCTGGGTGTGTGTATATGCGTGAGTGCTTGCCTGTGCGTGTGTGTGTGTGTGTTTGCATGCATTATTTAATGTATGTGTACCCAGAGACACACTCTCTTCTCCTTGTTTGTTATCACTGGGATTTCATATTTTTGGTGCACATCCACGGGACAGGTTTCTGGATTGGAGGCAGAGTTTGTTTGCTTGGGAAGATGTTTTTCCAGGGACTATGTGATCACTGAAGTTGTCGAAATGTTGAAGAAGCTTGTGTAAAGGCATTGGTGTCAGCATATTTTTTCCCTGTTCCCAAAAAAGTAACTTCATATACTCAGATTTAGAGGCAAAGATGTGTTATGATTACAAAATGTCACCGGAATGTGTCCCACCATATAACATCAGTCAGACATTTGTGCACTGAGAGCATAGTTTGTTATTTGTGATTTGTGATACTTTTTGTTTCCAGGTTTTCTGTATTTTCTTATTCATGAGATGAGACAGAATCTACCAGTATGAAACATTAAAATAATAAATAATACATTTTCTTCATGATTTTACCACATGACATTGCTATTTATTCCGTTGTACATACATAGCGTGTCAACTAGACAGATATGTTGCTGTTTTTCCTAGTTTCATGCAAATGTGTGATCAGTAGGATACATACAGTTCATAACAATGAGCTACTAATATAATACTTATACTAACAACAACAAAATGCTCTCAAGCTATTATTTTGCTTCATCTGAAAAACTGTGCTGCTTATATTTTACATAATATAATGATAAGCAAATAATTATTTTCATATTGGTGTAGAAGTTTAAGCCACTGCTCCTGTAAGATTTGAGGGTTTACATAATGGGCTTCTCTCCTATATTCTCAGGACAGAATGGAAGCTTTGATTTGGTTTTGTCTACACAGAAGGGAATTCCAAAGAAGAGCTTATTCTAATGTTTAGGATGAGATTATGCTTCTCCGGGAGTTATGACTCGTTGATATCCCTGAGAAAATGTAAGGACACATATTTATTCAAACAGTAAACCTATCCTGCCTTTGGGATATAATGTTTATTTTGGAGGATGAAAATTGCTAATACTTTTGAAAACATTGTTGCAGGGATGTGGTGGAGGGGGGGGGGGGGGGCATAGGATGAAAGAATCGAATGTGCTTAGCTAATGCTGCAAACCTCATTCATCGAATGTGTTTAGCTAATGCTGCACACCTCATTCTTCCTATGTGAAGCATGGTGGGTGAAGCAGCATGGAGCTGTACCTTTAAATATTTCTTCCAGTCGGTTGTCTCTGTAACCCGGAAGCTTTCAATTCTAAGATTCCTTCCTGTTTTTGTACGTTTTAAAGAAGCAGGGGATTCTGGTTTATTTTTATTTTGGATATTCGCTTGTAGTGGTGGTATGTGTTTGAAGCATAATGCATGACTGTAAAATAAAGTAGTATTTCACTGACGTTTACTTCTGCCATGCACACGTGTGAAACGAATGCTTCTCTCCTGGAGGTTGCTTCGCTTGCATGGATGCGCTCTCAGTCCCTAGCATTGGGTTGTTATTTTATGCATGAATAAATCTGGGTTGCCTGTGTCTGTCGCTCGACCTAGACAGTCGCTCACTTTGCTTTGTATTAATTGTGGCATACGCGTTTTGATATGGCAGGGTTTGTAGGTATTTCTGCTAGCTAGCTAGCTAGTTTACTTAGTTGCATAGGTCTGCAGGTTAATTGCTTAGCTAGCTAAATAGTCCACATTACCTAGCCACATTAAATTAGGCTATGCAATACCTAGATGATAGTCATGATGGATACCACAACAGTGGTGTCAAGAAATGCCAGGCATTTAATTGTAAAGGGAAGTGGTTTACTATGTGTGCCTTGCTAACTATTCAAGATGGATACAATGTATTCTGCATTCGTGTGTGAAATCATTCTTTGTAACTATTATTACAAATTAATTCGCTGCCTAGACTATTATAAAGTACCTTCCTCTACAATGAAAACAATGTAGTTGTTAATGTTACATTGTAACTAACTCTATTCTACAAACCATCTATAGAAAGTGGGACCCACATTTTCTATTCCCTTCCATGTAGAGTAACGCTAACCAGCAGTGATCCACAAGAAAAGAAGATCCATGCTTACTGGACCCTGTGTTTTTATACTGTTCATTTTGTGGATAACCATGGCCCAGATTCCCGGCCAAGAGGATAAAGAGAAAACAACTGCACTGAAAGGTGAGCAACTAGGTAAATGGTATTGCCTTCCTTGTACAGTACCCTGAAAATGTTGTCTTTCACTGTGCACACTCACAGCTCGAAAGTAATTGGTAAACAAGTGAAACTTGTATTCCTTGTTGTCCAAGGTATTGTGTGTTATCAGGGCGAGTGGAGACTTGTGAAAAGTGCTAGTTGTGGAGGTGATTTCATCATAACTATCTTCAGCCCGCTCCTACTGTCAGCTAGGTCTACTGTTTGCAGAGAGGATTTTAGTCTATGAGAGTAGGAAGGACTTTAGTCTGATCCTGCTAAAGGGAGAAATGTGCTTGCTCTCTTAATCTCTAGCCTATAGGCTACGGTCTTTCTCCTCTCAACAACCCCTTTTGTCTTTCCACAGTTTCCAGTAAAAATGGGACACACATAGCCATGTTTGAATTTAGTGGTTAAGCCTAGGCCTATTTAGGATGCTTTCCCCTCTTTTCCCTATGAAGGCTAAACACCAACCATCTATATGGAACAGCTCGGGAGACTATTAAAGGGGCAATTTGTAGTTCAAACGATGTTTGTTTGTTAAACAGCTGAGGGATGGGCTGGAGCAATGTAACCACTCTTAGGGCCCTATAAAATCTGTATTGTGTAGAATGCGGACGGAATCAAGGAGTCCAGACATTAAAACAGAATTCAACAATATTCAAAAATCGATTGAACTTAGGAAGTAAATGTATTGAACTTATACTGAACAAAAATATAAATGCAACATGTAAAGTGTAGGTCCCATGTTTCATGAGATAGAATAAAAGATCCCAGAAATGTTCCATAAGCACAAAAAGCTTATTTGTGTGTGCATGCTTGTCTGCACGTTGTGTAGCCGTTAGCAATGATGCTAATTATAACCTTCTGGTAGAGATGGTAAGGCTTTCCCAAAAACCTTCTCAATTAAATTTGTACTACAAAGTAGCCTATGCCTACCTGGCAGAATGATATCATAATTATTTGCGTCAAGTGGCCATTTGTTTAGCAAACTCTGCAATCACATGAGTGCTGCAGAAATACCACTAACCAGAACTTTTGCTTAGACCATGGTTTAAACTAGTGGTACTCAACTCTTACACAATGAGGTCCGGAGCCTGCTGGTTTTCTGTTCTACCTGATCATTAATTGCACACACCTGGTGTCCCAGGTCTAAATCGGTCCCTGATTAGAGGGGAACAATAAAAAAATGCAGTGGAACTGGCTTCGAGGTCCAGAGTTGCGTTTGAGGGGTTTAAACCATTGGTCTAAAATGGCTAGCTGCTAGTTTTTCTCATAGGCCAACCTGGCCAAATTAGCCACGATGCTGAGGACAACCAACTGAGCAGATAATTATATTTGGTAACACATTCCATCTCAGCCAATTAAAATTGTCCTCATAGTTGGATGTGATCCAACACTTTTTCACTAAAGCATCCTTAACAGAAGTCCACCAGCACGTTCTGATACTCAAAATAACTTAATCACATAGAAAAGTGGCTGGACAATTAGCTCATAGTGTAAGATGCCTAGTTCCTGACACTTTTTAACACTTGCAACGCAAGTTCAAATCCTCCGTGGGGTCATCATTTTTGCTTTGACATGTGGACTTGCATTCATTGTGGTTTTGTGTTGAGGAGGAAAGTGCAGTCAAATGAAGATTAAGAATTAATTTAATAAGTAGCTTGAACTTTATTCAGCATTCTTCAAAAACACAAAGCTAGGGCCTAATGACATCTTCGCATATAAGGCTCCATGGACGTGTACACTTGCCTACATGCAGGTTACACCTAAAATGTTTTATATGTGTTTTATCATTATTATCTAGCCTACCTTGTCTCACATGTAAGAAAGTGTAAATTGACTGGTTTGGCTAGGTTCACCAAGTGTCCAGTAGAGGGTGCAACACTCCTCTTTCTATTCTGGTTAGAGCCAGTTTGCGATGTTCTGTGAAGGGAGTAGTACACAGCGTTGTACGAGATCTTCAGTTTCTTGGCAATTTATCACATGGAATAGCCTTCATTTCTCAGAACAAGAATAGACTGACGAGTTTCAGAAGAAAGTTATTTGTTTCTGGCCATTTTGAGCCTGTAATCGAACCCACAATTGCTGATGCTCCAGATACTCAACTAGTCTCAAGAAGGCCAGTTTTATTGCTTCTTTAATCAGCACAACAGTTTTCAGCTGTGCTAACATAATTGCAAAAGGGTTTTCTAATGATCAATTCGCCTTTTAAAATGATAAACTTGGATTAGCAAACACAACGTGTTATTGGAACACAGGACTGATGGTTGCTGATTATGGGCCTTTGTACGCCTACAGTTGAAGTCGGAAGTTTACATACACCTTAGCCAAATGCATTTAAACTCAGTTTTTCACAATTCCTGACATTTAATCCTAGTAAAAATTCCCTGTCTTAGGTCAGTTAGGATCACCACTGTATTTTAAGAGAATTATTTCCTTCACATTCCCAGTGGGTCAGAAGTTTACATACATTAGTATTTGGTAGAAAAAAAAAACGAAGTATCCGCGGCGGTAACATGGCGTCCACGTTTGCGATTTTGGACCATGTGGCCCCGATAAGAGAAACAGTGCAGCTAGCAAGGAAAAATATGTTGCAGCAGTGAACGAAACAAATTTACCCGTCTATGTATTCAGCCACCTTTCTCAAAACAATTTGTCTTCTGTACACGTCTTCTCAAAGTGTGTTGAAATGCCCGTGAAGTGCTAGCTAACATGTATCTAATAGCCTAGATTGCTAACGTTAGTAAGCTAGTTGCAATATACCTGCCCGGGCACAGGCCACGAATGCTAGCGGGCTAACTTGGCCAGTTAGCTAGTACAAATACACATCTCATAGCTAATTATCCTCTCCAGAAACATGTTCGCTGCAATCCTGTTGTCAATCCTGAAACGAGTAGCTGGTTTGTTATCTAAAAGTAGTAGGCGTTTGCAACGCCAGGGTTGTGGGTTCGATTCCCACGGGGGGCCAGTATAAAAAAAATATGTATTCACTAACTGTAAGTCGCTCTGGATAAGAGCGTCTGCTAAATGACTAAAATGTAAATGTAAAAAAAATGGTAGCATTGCCTTTAAATTGTTTAACTTGGGTCAAACGTGTCGGGTAGCCTTCCACAAGCTTCCCACAATAAATTGGGTGAATTTTGGCCCATTCCTCCTGACAGAGCAGGTGTAACTGAGTCAGGTTTGTAGGCCTCCTTGCTCGCACATGCTTTTTCAGTTCTGCTGCCCACAAATGTTCTATAGGATTGAGGTCAGGGCTTTGTGATGGCCACTCCAATACCTTGACTTTGTTGTCCTTAAGCCATTTTGCCACAACTTTGGAAGTATGCTTGGGTTCATTGTCCATTTGGAAGACCCATTTGCGACCAAGCTTTAACTTACTGACTGATGTCTTGAGATGTTGCTTCAATATATCCACATAATTTTCCTTCCTCATGATGCCATCTATTTTGTGAAGTGCACCAGTTCCTCCTGCAGCAAAGCACCCCCACAGCATGATGCTGCCACCCCCGTGCTTCACGGTTGGGATTGTGTTCTTCGGCTTGCAAGCAACCCCCTTTTTCCTCCAAACATAACAATGGTCATTATGGCCATTATGGCCAAACAGTTCTATTTTTGTTTCATCAGACCAGAGGACATTTCTCCAAAAAGTACGATATTTGTCCCCATGTGCAGTTGCAAACCGTAGTCTGGCTTTTTTATGGCGGTTTTGGAGCAGTGGCTTCTTCCTTGCTGAGCATCCTTTCAGGTTATTTCGATATAGGACTCGTTTTACTGTGGATATAGATACTTTTGTACCTGTTTCCTCCAGCATCTTCACAAGGTCCTTTGCTGTTGTTCTGGGATTGATTTGCACTTTTCGCACCAAAGTACGTTCATTTCTAGGAGACAGAACGCGTCTCCTTCCTGAGCGGTATGACGGCTGTGTGGTCCCATGGTGTTTATACTTGCGTACTATTGTTTGTACAGATGAACGTGGTACCTTCAGACGTTTGGAAATTGCTCCCAAGGATGAACCAGACTTGTGGAGGTCTACAATTTTTTGAATGAGGTCTTGGCTGATTTCTTTTGATTTTCCCATGATGTCAAACAAAGAGGCACTGAGTTTGAAGGTAGGCCTTGAAATACATCCACAGGTACACCTTCAATTGACTGAAATGATGTCCATTAGCCTATCAGAAGCTTCTAAAGTCATGAGATCATTTTCTGGAATTTTCCAAGCTGTTTAAAGGCACAGTCAACTTAGTGTATGTAAACTTCTGACCCACTGGAATTGTGATACAGTGAATTATAAGTGAATAATAATAAATAATAATAATAATATGCCATTTAGCAGACGCTTTTATCCAAAGCGACTTACAGTCATGCGTGCATACATTTTTGTGTATGGGTGGTCCCGGGGATCGAACCCACTACCTTGGCGTTACAAGCGCCGTGCTCTACCAGCTGAGCTACAGAGGACCACAAGTGAAATAATCTGTCTGTAAACAATTGTTGGAAAAATTACTTGTGTCATGCACAAAGTAGATGTCCTAACCGAGTTGCCAAAACTATAGTTTGTTAACAAGAAATTTGTGGAGTGGTTGAAAAACAAGTTTTAATGACTCCAACCTAAGTGAATGTAAACTTCCGACTTCAACTGTATGTAGATATTCCATTAAAAATCAGCCGTTTCCAGCTACAATAATATTAAGTGTCTACACTGTATTTCGGATCAATTTGCTGTTATTTTAATGGGCAAAAAATTGCTTTTCTTTCAAAAACAAGGACATTTCTAAGTGACCCCTCCTTATAAGACACATTGTTGAAGAAACATTTCTAATTAAATCACGCTAGGTTTATGGTATTTTTTTTGCATTTTGCACAATGATTTTGCACTACGAAAATGTCGCCCTCTGTGTTTTAGCAAGGCTGAGTGCAAATGTAGCTAATATAGATTTTCTGTGTCCCTCCCCACACCTGGCCCAGACCTGTTGTCCAGGATAGACCTAGACGAACTCATGAAGAAAGATGAACCTCCGCTCACTTTCCCCAAGACACTTGAGGAGTTTGAGTATGCCTTCAACGAGCGTAAGTCATATCATTTAATATTATGATTATTATAATTTATATTATGTATGTATGGATTATTTTATCACAGGTGGAGGCCTGGTGTCTTTGGCTCTTAATATTCCCCCAGTTGCCTCTCTCTCTCTCTCTCTCTCGCTTTCTCTCCCCCTCTCTCTCTTTCTCTCCTGCGCTGTTCTCTCGCTCTCTCTGTCACAGTCTCTGCTGACTGTGTGGCTGTACTGGGGCTGAGAACATGTTGTGTACTATACGGCCTGTCAGTAACCTACTCAGCCTTGCGCTCAATCTGACGGAGGATTTGCATAACCTTGCTGCTGTTAAGAACAGTCCCGGACTGCCACTTCTGAGGAGCCTGCCTGGGTGTCTGTCTTCACTCTCCTCTCCAAGAATATCATTTCTATTCAAACTAAAGTCCTTCCGGCTCAGTGTGGAGATAGATCAGTGCTGCCATGACTGGAGGGCATTCTTCACTCCAACACCCAAGTTAGCCTACGTCTATATAGTGTAAAAAGAAATATGAAATGAATATATAAGAGGCTCTATACAGTTGATACAGGTATCTTAATTATAAAGATGATGGCTTCATCACAGTAGCCCTCCGGTTTTCCATTACTGGAAATTCAAGGTTATGTACACCTAATTAAGCTCCAAAATTGAGCACCGCATGCTAATTATGCTAGAAAAGGGGAGAAAAGTTGAGGAAACATAATCCTCTGAGAGGCTGTGTTGTGGAGGCGATGGAGCTGAACTCTCGTATACACACACACACACAGACACACACACACACACACACACTGTTGTTTAGTAGATCTCTTCTCTCACTACCGTGAATGCATAATTGATATCTTCAAGGTACTTTTCTGCGGGCGCCTTTTCAAACTGATACACCCCCCCCCCCTCCCCCGCGCCCATCTCGTAGGCACAAGCTGGCTATTAGTTCTCCATGTTGACGAACAGCCTTTTCGGTGCTAAATGTTGTCTAACAGCTAACGATGAAAGCAAAATGTTGTAATGCTCGGCGAGTAAGCAGTGTAAGATTTATCACACGATAACAGAGTGTAAAGTGGTGCAATTTAGGGGGAGATGAAAATGCTTATGCAATCTTTTATCTTAACAATATGCTTTTTTTGCCGGGGTTTGCCGTTGTGGAATAATTGAGAAAGTATGAGACCCTCCGGCTATTTGGGTTGTATACTTTGAGTATTTCAGCATTATGCGTTTTGCAGTCGTAGAGGTCACAATTTAACACTGATTTGTGCTTTGTTATGTTGCAGTGTCAACAGAAGGATAGATGGCCTCATTGTAAACCTCTGTATTTGGAGGCGTTAAACAGACGCAGGGATAATTGTTTAGCTTGAAAAAGTTACTAGTCTAGAATTGCTCTCTCCCTCATCACATTATTCTCTGCTTGTTCCTCATTTAGCTGTTATTGTAAAATGAACCTGGGCTCTGAAAATAAACACAGGTGTTCTCCCCTGTAAACTCTAAATATGCGTTTGTGTTCCTAGTTTCCACTCAATGATTCAAACACTTTTGCCGTAATGTAACTCCTAATGTACTACCCCTTTAGCGCGCACATACACTGCACCCAGTCGCTCCCCGCTGGCTAGGCCTGGTAGAGAGGAGTGGCATTGGAGTGGTGTGGAGAGTGACCAGGGTCAATGAGAGTGAAGGCTGATTGGCTGCCATCCAAAGCCCAGCCTCAAAGGCAGTGTGGGGAACAGTTGATCTCAGGTGGATAGGGCTACAGACGCATGGGACGATGCCAGGATGAGAAAAAAGGGCGAGAGATATAAACAAGGAATGAGAGGAAGAGAGAGTTTATGCCACACCTGCTGTCTGGGCCTGGGCTGCCAGACGTCCCAGAAGGCCGTTGGACTCGTGAATGGAAGAGCGCTCTGCATCCGCAGGCCTTGTACCTGCCAGATGGGGGGACCGCAGCCACAAACACTTTTAATTGCATGAAGGGAGAGAGGCGCAGAAAAGCAGGGTCTCAGTTTGAACTGAAGGTCAAAGCTAGTTTGCTTCTTTTGACAGGCGGAACTACTTCAGCATGTCCATACGGTGGTAGAAACCTAACAAGCACCACATTATTTTATTCTACCGCTGCTCTACTCCTCACACTATCATTAGCTTTCCTGCCATAATTAAGCGGCAGTCAGTTTGAACAGCGTTTAGTTTTCTCTTACTTTCGGGACCTGAGGAGTTGGTCCAACGCTAGCCTTCCAGACCCTTCTGCCATGCATGCCCCAACTGCAGTTGAACGCTTCTAGTTGATGAGGTCAATTCCATTTGAATGGATACTGTGATTGATTAATTGATATTCAGCCCGTGAATTGGAAATTGCCTGCTATTTTCTCTGAGGATTTTTCAATTTGTAAATGATGCTAGATTGATCCCTACCCTGGAACAAAAATAGTTGAGATACTGAAAGAAGTTTCTCAACTACTCCTCCTAGAGAGGGTTTCAATCAGTCTCAATGAGTAGGCCTAGATTAACATTGTTTCTGTCTATCTGTCGCTTTCTGTCTGTGTCTTTGTACGTATGTCTCTCTGTTTGTCTGTCTGTCTCTGTTTGTCTGTATGTCTCTCTGTCTCTATCTCCCTCCCTCTGTCTGTCTGCCTATCAGAGGGCAGGTTGAGGCACACCATGACGGGCGAGGCGTTTGTGTTCAACGCCCGGGAGGATCTCCACAGGTGGAACCAGAAACGCTACGAGGCCCTGGGAGAGGTACGTACTCTTACTGCTCATTCCCCCCTTCACCCCCCCCCCCCCTCTAACTCTGTCTGTCAGTCATCAGGGCATATGTTCTATTGTCATTTTTACTACTGCATTACTATATTCCTTTACCTTTTGTACTGAAATATTTATATTTTGTTTTACTATAGGATAGGACGTTATTTAAAACAAGACAAAAGAGGAAAGGAATGTATCCCTGATTTTGAATAAGTAAATGGGAGAAAAGATCCCTACCATATTGTATTATTAACGGCAAAACTTTGATGATGATTTTGTTGTATCTGCGCTCCCCAGATTTAATAACTCTTTAATTTGATTCAGAGTGGTATTGAACATAGACGCACCACACACACATACGCGCACACACACACACACGGTGGTTGGCAGGACATGGTGGATACTCCTTGGCAGCAGTAGTGGATCCCTGTCTTAGTATGTGTGTGTGTGTTGTGATCAGGCTTGGTTTGCCCTGATTTATAACTGGCTCAGCGGTCTTGCTGTTTACACCTTCACACTCAAAAGACCCTCAATCCCGCCAGGCCCTCGCCACTTTCATGGCTCTAGCAGACGTGTGTGTCTGTCTCTGTGTGTGCGTATCATACAGTGTAGGTAAGTATGCTGGTATATGGAAAGGCAGCTACATAGAGCTCATATGTCATGTCACACAATGTAGGCCTACATACAGTATATACATTTGTCAGGATTACCAGCCTGAAGGTTAGGTTAGCCCCCTGACAGACGGACGGGCGGACGGACTGACGGACGTGTGACGTGTCCACCACACCGTCACACCTCGTCCAAAAGTTCACTTTGCCCTCACTCAGTCTCAACTCAACTAATCACAAACCAATGTTTTTCCTTTTGTAATCTTCTGCTTTACTTGCAACCCCGCTATTTTGCTTTTAATTGTTCCCTGCGTTCTTTGAAGTTCAAAGCGAAAGATGGACTCTTTGGTGGGATTACCTGTGTGTTTAATTTCTAATCCAGGTGCGTTCTTTGAGAACTAGCCTTTTGTTGAAGGCGCTCTTTCTTCTGCTGCCGGAGGTATCTCGCCAGTATCTGAAACGCTGGAAGCAAACATTTGGTAGTGCGGATTGGAGTAGCCCAGAGAGCACAGTCGTTTAAACTTCTTGAACTCAGACATCAGGCGCAGGCCCAGATGTTTAGTTAATTCATTAAGGATCTAACATGCTAATGAGATTATGTGGTTAAGAGGCAGCATCTCATTCATTGAGAACATGTAGGCTAGTAGGCTTTGCCGCTGGTGAAGCTAGCTGTGATAACAAGATATTGGATTGGAGTTACAGAGAGGTGCGTGGCTAATGTGTGTTAGGACTCCTGTCTGTCTGTGTGATCAGGCCTGGGTAGTTCAGGGTTTAGATTTGAGCGCAAAAAAAGCCTGCTGCTGAGAGCCCTCGTTCACAACAATGGCCATCCTGAAGCGTACATGCCCTATATCAACCAACCGCCCTAGAGTGGGTGCACTACCCACAATGCATTGTGAAGGGGTGGAAAGGGAAGCAAGGAGATGCGGTGCCCTTCCGTGACTGTCCCTGGGGGTGTGGAGCAAGAGAGCGCCCACCCAACCTGCATGGGTGGGGACTAGCATCATCTCTCACTCTCTGTCTCTGTTTCTGTGTCTCTCCCTTCCTCTTCCTCTCTCTCTCTCTCTCTCTCTCTCTCTCTTTCTCTCTCTGCCTCCCTCCCTCCCTCCCTTCTATGGTCCTGCCAGTCTTCCGAGCAGAGCTAGCTGTGACAGTGCAGTGCTAGGGAGAAATGGCGGCCACATTGTGAGAGGCATCACAGCACCAGATGTCCAATTTGCAATTCAGCCTCGTCTGAATGGGTGGACGATGTCTTAATGGCCGCTTGGAGGAAAGATTCGCAGCTGATGTTGAATGCAGGGGCATTGCATTGTGGGCCCAGATTTTAAAATTATTCTCATTTTATTTATATATTTTACAGCTCAATGCGTAGATCTTTCCAAGGAGCAAAAATCCTTCACTGTACTCTACATGTTCTTGGAACGGGTTTGTTTGATGTCCCAGTTTGTGGTGAATTGGCATATTGAATTGAGTTGTTTGAAAACTTCTGAATACCAGCCCACGAAGCCAATAATTTAAGGTGCTGTTTGTTGAATAAATTGCTATTGTGTGGATCCCTCTGGATATATGTGTGTGTGTGTGTGTGCGTGTATGTGAGCAGCAGAAGCGTCACATCTGTTCTCCCTGTTTGGATAAGACCTTGTGCGGCGATTAAAGGCTGTTTGCTCTGGTATCTGGATGAGCGCTGTGAGTGAAAGCCCTGGCCCTCTCTTCATGTTGTCAGCCAGATTAACCCCAATGCATCAAAAAGCCTCCATCGGCCAGGGAACTGGGGTAAGAGCATCCCTGCTCTGACATCTCGATTAGTACGACAGGAACCCAGGCAGCACCGCTACGCAGCACCAGGCTACGCTACACACATAGGCACGGTGGGACGGTATGCTAGTTGTATTCCGATCGTGATTTAGTGCTGATCGTTGTTTCAGAGGAGATGGTTTTTATTTGACCTTTTAATGAACCACAACCTTGTAGTGAACTGAAGCTAATTGTAGGCCAGCAGCTATACCCTTCCCCTCAGACTCACCCGTTCTGTCCTGGTGTTGATATTGACGGGAGAAAAGAGAGAGATGGAGGCATTAACTTACTGTACAGTGGGGAAAAAAAGTATTTAGTCAGCCACCAATTGTGCAAGTTCTCCCACTTAAAAAGATGAGAGAGGCCTGTAATTTTCATCATAGGTACACGTCAACTATGACAGACAAAATTAGGGAAAAAAATCCAGAAAATCACATTGTAGGATTTTTTATGAATTTATTTGCAAATTATGGTGGAAAATAAGTATTTGGTCAATAACAAAAGTTTCTCAATACTTTGTTATATACCCTTTGTTGGCAATGACACAGGTCAAACGTTTTCTGTAAGTCTTCACAAGGTTTTCACACACTGTTGCTGGTATTTTGGCCCATTCCTCCATGCAGATCTCCTCTAGAGCAGTGATGTTTTGGGGCTGTCGCTGGGCAACACGGACTTTCAACTCCCTCCAAAGATTTTCTATGGGGTTGAGATCTGGAGACTGGCTAGGCCACTCCAGGACCTTGAAATGCTTCTTACGAAGCCACTCCTTCGTTGCCCGGGCGGTGTGTTTGGGATCATTGTCATGCTGAAAGACCCAGCCACGTTTCATCTTCAATGCCCTTGCTGATGGAAGGAGGTTTTCACTCAAAATCTCACGATACATGGCCCCATTCATTCTTTCCTTTACACGGATCAGTCGTCCTGGTCCCTTTGCAGAAAAACAGCCCCAAAGCATGATGTTTCCACCCCCATGCTTCACAGTAGGTATGGTGTTCTTTGGATGCAACTCAGCATTCTTTGTCCTCCAAACACGACGAGTTGAGTTTTTACCAAAAAGTTATATTTTGGTTTCATCTGACCATATGACATTCTCTCAATCCTCTTCTGGATCATCCAAATGCACTCTAGCAAACTTCAGACGGGCCTGGACATGTACTGGCTTAAGCAGGGGGACACGTCTCGTACTGCAGGATTTGAGTCCCTGGCGGCGTAGTGTGTTACTGATGGTAGGCTTTGTTACTTTGGTCCCAGCTCTCTGCAGGTCATTCACTAGGTCCCCGCGTGTGGTTCTGGGATTTTTGCTCACCGTTCTTGTGATCATTTTGACCCCATGGGGTGAGATCTTGCGTGGAGCCCCAGATCGAGGGAGATTATCAGTGGTCTTGTATGTCTTCCATTTCCTAATAATTGCTCCCACAGTTGATTTCTTCAAACCAAGCTGCTTACCTATTGCAGATTCAGTCTTCCCAGCCTGGTGCAGGTCTACAATTTTGTTTCTGGTGTCCTTTGACAGCTCTTTGGTCTTGGCCATAGTGGAGTT